GTAATCTGCTTAAACTTGAAAAAGCACCTTAGTTGAAGAGGAGATGCCAAACGTTTTCAGACAAAAGCAGCATTTTCTGAATAAAAAAAACCCCACCTGTAAGCACAGGCCTGCCCTCTATGCTAATAGAGTTTTGCCTTATGTAGGATCCAGTAACTAAACAACAAGAAGTACGTTGCAGAAATAAAACTAACAGGATTTGGCAACAACTCATATTTTTCTTTTTTTTTTCTTTTTGTACAAGCAGCCTGTGGCAAAACATCCCTCTTTGATGACTACCACAGCTACTAGAATCGAGCAGAACAACCATCACTGTAGGAACACAAACACTCGAAATATGACATTTGGAACACAGAAAGTGAATCTTCCGCTTGTCTTCTTCATCTTTTATTTTTAAGAAACCTGTTATAATCCCACTAGCAATAAAAAGCAGTTTTGTTTGGACTGGTCCAAAGACGCCAACAGCTCGCTCTCACAAACAATGCATTGCAAAGATATGTGCAAGATAAGAAAACATACAAAATATACTTGCTTTTGGTGTTTTATTTTATTGTTATATTAAGCTGGGATTTGTCTTTGCCAAGAGGGAACGCCGAACATCAGACAGACCAAACCTAAGTAAATAATCCTAAAATGTAAACCTGGATTTATGGAAATGTTCTCCTCAAGAGGGCACAGATTTTGTTCTTAAGCTTTATAACCATTCTCACTCTTAGCTGTTGCTATAAATTACCATTTTAAAGTACTCTTAAGACTAAGAAATATATGTCCATGTCACACTAAGTTGTCTCATTTTGTGCTTAATGGAGTTTTTTCTACTGCACCAGCCTTGTATCTCCTAGCTTTGGGAGGAAATTTTGATTTAGGTCTTCCAGCTTCTCTTTTTCTGGATTTTTGAATTATTTTAAAGCATCCCATCAATGTCTGTAATATGATTTTTGATGGCTGGGTCTCCCTTTGTGTTCATATTCAGGTTCTCTCCGTCCCTCATAGAAGACTAGTGTGCTGTAGTCGACTTTTTGAGGTGACAGACGTCAACAAGGCCCAAAAACAAGCAGCACACCAGAGAGAAGTCTTCCTCTTCAATGATCTCCTTGTGGTAAGTAGACGAAAAGCCTTACACTTTATTAAATTGACAATTATTATGAGATATTCAGTATAAAAATACTCATGTTTTCATCCTGAGAGTTTCTTTTTCCTTCTTCTGCACACAATCAGACTTTGAAGTTGCTTATTTAGTTATGACAGCTGCAGTCCAACAATTCTTACTTTGGGTCCAGCTTTTCGCAGTGCTTGTCTTTTTTATGTTATTTCATAACTCTGGCGTCTCCAGGCATTTCTTTTAATTATAGTAAGCAAATAATAATAATCAAAGATCTGTCCTCTGCAGAGCTGCTTTAAAGGATGGTAATATAGTTTCATTTCACTTGAGGACAGCACAGATTAGCTGCTCATTTGATCCAAAGTTATATAGATGTGGGAATTATCAAAGGTTTAAATGTTGGACATAATGTTCTCATTAAGAGGCGCATAGGAGTTATCTATCCAATGTATTTAACTAACCTCATAATTATGTCAAATGCCGCAACATACAGGAAAGGCAAAAAGCAGCATAGCCATATTACTTCACTTTCTATGGAGGCATAAAAGTAATTGGGACCTGCAGGAGAGGTTGTTAAAACTCCAATTTGAAGTAAAAGACTAAAGAAGCTATTGTCCAACATCACAGTGCAATTCTGTTCATTTGGCACTAAAAGTTAGCGGAGCGATATATTTCGCAAGGATGTTTTCTCGTGACAGCTTTGAAAGCGGGACAGAAGTTGTCTTTGAAAATTTTTCACTACGGGATGAAAGTAAAGGGGACTTCTCTTTGAATTTGGCCCCTGTTACAGCAGCTTGAAAATGTCAAGAAGTGTTTAAAGTGCCAATGTGATGTATTGGTTTAATACGCCTTTCCTGGTAAATTATGTCTCACAGTAGTGCTGGAAAACAGATATGCCTCATCTTTCTCTATCTGGAAGGTCATTCGGTGGAAAAAAAAAAAGGAGCTCCATAACAGCCACGATATATCCTGATATAAGCACTGGCGCGCAATCTGAAACACTTGGAAGGTTGTAGTGCACATAAGTATTGACTATCCGCTCTCGACGTTGTCACGGCGGGGTGCGCCGGTGTGTTTTTTGAAACAGGACCCAAAAGCAGATGTGGACGAGGAGTTGCAGGTTTAAACAGAAAGCGATCATTTATTTGGATGATAGCAGGAGTTAAACATGGAACCCTAAGCAAACTAAAAAACACTAAGAAACAAACACTATG